CTGTGACTTTGCCTGTCTCCATGGACCCCACTGGCTCTGTGACTTTGCCCGTCTCCATGGACACCTCTGGCTCTGTGACTTTGCCCGTCTCCATGGACACCCTTGACCTTTATTTACTGATATTTCCAGGAAGAGTAGGAGTATGTTTCTCTTGACTACTCTATTATGCCTGATGACAGAGTGTTAAATCTTTCTCCGCTCCACTGGTTTGAGATCAAGCTCTGGGCTTCAGTAAGACTAATCTCAGGCCCCCAAGTTAGTGGGTTTTACCAATTAAGTTGCGGGTTATGCTATGTGCTACTCAGAAATTCCTGGGCGAGTTCTCACACTTAGGGGGGCAGAAGTGAAAACATTGTGGGCGGAAGCAATGAAAATGAAGTGAATGCACTGTGGTGAATATGTACAAAAACACCAGCCACTAGAGGCTAACATTGAAGTGGAAAGCAGATGGACAGGGGAGAGGTCTCCAGTAGCTGCTAGACATTTTGCAGACATTTAGAGCCTGATTATCAAGGCTTTTGACCAGTGCAAATTTTATTAAAAATAACATTTATAGTATAAATAATTTTTTAAATCCCTTATTTTTTCATTTCACCTGATACTTGATGTTGCATTGTGTTAAATTTTTTCCTTAACTTTTTACTCAAACAGAAAAGAGGGCTTTGGTTTGCACTGGCGCTAAAGCCTGGAAAATCATGCTCTCTGTTGTCAGTGTCTATTTTGCCTTTGACTTTATATGCTAAAAGAAGTGCAATATCCGGGAAGGTTAGTGGATGATATGCTGGATCAAAAAATACTATTAATTACCTTTTATTTCCGTGATTATTGTAGTGATAGATCCAGAAAGGTACGTCAGCAGCACTTAAGAGTTCTAAGTTGCAGGGCATAATCCACTACAGCACCTGCTGCCAATACTTTCAAAGCTTGTTTGTAGTGTTTGTTATTGCTAATGGCCCTTTCACTATAGAATTACCAGACAACTGGAAAGAAGGCTGATTCACTTTGTCATAGGTTTTCTGGTTTGTAGTACAACCTGTCTATCGTATGATGATTGTCCTAGTTACACTCGTTGCATCTGCGAGAAGGCTCTGTAACTAAGAGCTGCGGGGCAGCAGGTAATCAATGAAAAGTTTAAACCAATTAAAATTGAGTGACAATGGCAAATATGTACATTCTCGGTTCCTACAGCATTGCATTTTGGGTAATTGCTTCTAAATTGAAAACCGTCATAACTAGCAACCATGAAAATATATATTCATCACTTTTTTAGAATCAATATATTTTGAATATGTCCATTTATGATCCTCTCTTTTATTTGGATGTTATATTTCTGAATCAGTGTCATTATTCAGGAACATCTGTTGAATGTGTGGTATTGTTCCCTCATGTTTTTAATCTGATTCTGCATCAATATGCTGTAAATCATTTATGCAGTAAACCTGAGACCACCAGGGTCTTAGGTAAAATGAAGTGTATTCACATTCAGCATTTGCACACTATTTTCTCTCTTAAATGTAAGATGTATGATAAATGTACTGTAAATTTCTGTAATTTATTACATTTAATTTTATAAATAGAATAACTTTTAAATGTATGTTTGTACATAAATGGAAGATATATATGAAACTATGCATTTCTTTGTACAGTTTTTGATTTTGATTTATTATTATTTTTTTACTATTAGTTCTCTTGTCATTTTCTGTCCAGATTCTAACTGCAGTGCCATCGAACCATAAACAATATCCTGTCATCATTATATACACTATTTAGTAGATCTAATTTCTATAATGTATTTATGTAACCATTCAAACACTTGCTAAGTTCTTTTTTCCAGATGACATTTAGTTTAAATGATTAATTTTTCACATTAAAAAGGTCAGCTTGTCCATCCATCCATCCATCCATCCATCCAT